GCGCATCAGAAAATAAAGCCATTTTTCTGGAGCCCACAGCTTCCAGATTCCGCAGAAATCTTTTGGGTATCTTTTCACAATGTTTATCCCCTTCAAAATCAACAAAACCCAACGTTGACCCTGTGTGAGTAGCACATGGAGCATGTCAGGAGTCCTGTGGGGCTGTGAGTGCTGAGCTGCAGGAGGATGCTCAGTTTGAGGAAAAAAACTGGGGCTGCTCCTGCCTGAGGAGATAGCAGTGCCTGCACTGAGCCAGCAGTGTGCTCAACTGAACAAGAAGGAGTTGCAGGCAGCCAGCAGGCTGTTCAGGATTAACCCAAGCTTCATATGATAGTACAGACCGAAGAAACAGCTCCGCCGCTGGGAACTGTAAAAGTTCAGCTCCTCTCTGCATCTCACCAGGGGCAAAACAGAGCTTGGGCTTAATGAGGTATTTCTGATCCTCCCCATGTTCCTCTCCCTGTAAAGAAAACACTAGAAGCTGCGTGGTGGCTTTGTCTATGTAGCAGCCATCTCTGTTTTCTCTTCCCCTCCCCTCTCTCACTCCATCACAAACTCCATCCCCATCGCACCAATTTTGCCACGAGATTTTCCAGCTCCGATTTCAGGCTTCCTTTCCCAGCCCTGACAGTTGTCCCTGCATCTGCCATCTTCTTAGTGTCCAGCAGGGACAAAAAAAATAGCCTTTCTCACTTGAATTGGATTCACAAGGTTCCAGCAGGGCTATAAGAAAACATGGTGGGGATACCAGATATATGAACGCTATCCAAAACAGCAGCTTCTGGGCAGCATGTATTGAGTTGAGCTGCGACTTTCCCTTTGTCAGGATGGAGTGGCGCCCATCCACAGCCTGCCTGAGGCTGCAGGATGGTTACAAGGGGGTGAGAAGAGATGCTGGGCTTCCACCTGCTGGAGACAGCCGGAGCGTGGGAGAGCCAGAGGGACACGGATGGGAGCGTCCCAATGCTACGACGTGGGGTCCTGGGAAGCTGAGCGCTGGCCCTGCCCCGATGCCTATCAGCTTTGCACACCTACGTTCTCCACTGCCTTTTGACACTCTCTGCAGAAGATGAACAGGCACGCAGCGATTTCAACACAGGCAGTCAGACCGCTGCTCACAGTGTGATACTGAGCCATTTCTTGTCTTTCATTAGTCACAGCCCAGGGCGAACGATATTTAAAATCAGGGATCCTGCTACAAGAGAAGGTGCCCCACCTTTTGAGAAAGAAGGGCCAGTTGTATAACTTCAGACCCGTCTTCATTTCTTGGCTGGGAACTTCCTCCTTTCACCACACCTACATGACTGGCAGAAAAAGAGAGCAAACAGCTGTCAGACACAGCAAGCACATGCCAAAGAAACCACAGGACCCGTAAGATTTTCTACCTGTAGAAGTTCCATGCTGAGGCTGTGTGTCACGTTCTTCTGCCTTTTGTATGGGGTGAAAACAGGTAGGAAGTCGATCGTTTTGATTCTTTTGTTCAGTATAACGCTTACTCTGCTTTGGAGGAGCAGAGAGAGAACCTATCTGCCCTCTGCATTATAAGGTTACTGTGTAGGATTTTTCACTAGCATTAGTTGTCTTAAAGCAAACTGTCTTGGTTTTGTGAACTGAAGAATTCCAAACATAAAGCCAGAAGTCATTTGTATGATCTCTTCTTCACTTTGCAAACATTTCTCTTATACAAGCATCATCAAACTCAACCATCGACACTCAAAACGTCGTCTGAAATCTTCAGAGAAGAATGATTTCTTTTCAGCAGCGCATTACATGACAGCCACAAAGGATGAATTAGCATTTATGAACGCTGAACTTCACTTGGTATCCTCGTGGCCCCATCAAGAATCAACCTGTTTAATAATCAACAAATGTGCTGCCTTCTGTTAGTGCACACATGGGAGCACGTCGCCTGCTTTGTGAAGCTGCAGCTCCACGCTTTGCAGGGAAAGCAAATAGGATTTAGGACTACCTAAAGTGTTCCCAAAAAGGCAGATGGTTCATCAGGTTCCTAGGGCAGCCTTGGAGGTCTCGTTTTGCTTATTGTGATGAATACATAGTAGAGATACTAAAGGCCATTTTATGAGGTGGAGGGCAGACCCTTCGTGTGGAAAGCATGGGAACACTCAGTAATGCTGCTAAGGTTTGCTGTGTGGCAGTGCTCGAAGCTGGCCACTTTAGTGCTGATGCGTCAGGGTCTCTTGAAACAAAAGGCACATCCCAGGCAAGGTAATGGTGCTTTGGAAGTCAGGGATGCTGCAGGCTGCCATGGGAGCAGCAGCACGCTGGTTGGAGGTCTGCAGAAGGTGCTAAGCAGGGAGCAGTCTCTTGGTGGGCTCTGTGAGGCAGTGTGATCTCCCAAAGCTCACAGTTAGGACAGCCACAGATGTGATAGAAGTGGCACAGATGAAGTGATGATGAGGAGAAACCTTTTGGACCTTCCCTTTGCAAGAGGCCAAACTGGCGGAGTTAAAAAACGGAGATGCCATTCTTTCTGTGCAGAAAGCCTCAAAGATGAGAACCTTCCTGTCCATAGGCTGAACACCAGGACAAAAGAAAGGGAAAGTCTCCAAACACCATCTCCAAGGAAGGAATGAGAGAGCAGCCCAGGAGGACGCAAGCCTTACGTGGCACTGAGTGCAGCCACTGCTGCAGGCTCTGCCCAGCACCATTCTCATGGCGCTCCACCTGCTCCTGGTCTCCAAAAGCCAGCTGTGCTGAAGATGCCCCTCCTGCTGCAGGCACACCTGAGAGGCTGATCTCATGCTCAAGGCAGAAGATGTCCAGCTCCAACACAGGAATATCAAAGCAGATCGCTTTGGCTTCTGCTGAAGCACTGAGGCATGAGAGCAGCTTGCCTAGCAAAGCAGTGTTTGCCATCCTGTGCTTATCAGGAGGAGTGAATGCAGGATCCCCAGCTGCCCTCATGTGTCAGCTCCTGTGACACACAGCCATGCAGCAGGGGGAGAAGCTGGCAGGCTTTCCCCCTCTATCAGCACTCATCTGATCTCCTTAATGAAAACAGAACAAATTTAACAGGCTTGGTGCAGAAATAACAATGCTTTTTAAATGCTTCCTGTTTTAGGTTTAAGCAAATCCTGAGCAGCTCTTTAATAGCCCTTCTGTGGCAGAAGGTTTGGGTCGCTCTGGTGCCAACCAAGTGCTCCCCAGGGCAAGTCACAGCACGGCTCAGAGATAGGAGACAAATGAAGCAATCAGAGCAGCCTTGCACCATGTAGAAATAGTTCTGGTCCAGCATTTCTGCCTGCATTTCTATGTCCTCCGTGGCAGTAAGGATGATTAACAATAATGCATAACAATGCTGTACAGGAACTAAAACACATCGAGTTATTAATCAAAGATAAATGTGGTTTTATTTTCTCTCATACTGCAGTAGCACCTAAAGGAGAGTCGCCCAGTGTCACTGTGTACCAGAGACCTCCAGGTGGGGGAGAACTCCTGCTGCTGTTGCCCTATGGAGAGCAAACAGACCAAGAAAGAGGCACCAAAGGTCACCTCGACTCAAGAAAGCAGGGCCCAGAGTGACATGCTCCTGGGAGATGGGAGCTTTAGCAGGCAGAACACCCTCAGCTCAAAGCCACTGACTTCAACTGATGTTCACTGGCCCTGCTTGAGAGTTCATTCTCCGCTGCTCCCATTTTGCTATTCATATCTCGGCATAGGCTTTCCATAGGAAGGACTTCTGTGGATCTCAGATGTTAAAATTTATTTCTGAATTTATAGTAGTAATTTAATACATCCAGTTGGAGTTAACTGCAACATCCTCTTAGCCTATTAACTTTTATTTCTGGAGCTCCTGGGGCTCCTGCAAAGTAATTAGCAGAACTATGGCAACTGAGCGGATTATTTTATGTGCTGGGCACACAGCATTTATATTACTCTCATGTTTCTGGTTTCCATAGGAGGAAAAAGCATGAAAGTTTATTGTGGGAACTGTGAGAGATCCATCATTTAGAAATTAAAACGCACGGAATGCTGGACACCTGCTAGAGCACTGCTGCCTTAAAGCTGCAGGTTTCCCAAACCTCTCCCACCTCCAGCACAGCCCTTTTGAGCAGCAAAAATCCTTTAGCAACCGCAGGGGAACAATTAATGCAGCACAGGGCGTGTGTGCAAGAGAGATGCTTTCTCCCACAAGGTTCTTCAGTAAAAACGAGGAGATTGTGGGCCAGAGAAAGGCTACAGAACCTGGGAGGGCCTCGGTAAGCAGTCAGCCTGGAGGCTGTTAATTCCTTTTCCTAGCAGTGCCCTGCTGGAGCTTGCATGGGGCTGTGAAGGCTCAGCTGGAGGTCTGCTGGAAAAGCAGAGAACAAAGCCAGGCTTTCAAATGGCAGAGATTGTCGTGAAAAGCAGCACTTAGTGAAAATTCGGGAACTCTCCAGCTGTGTATAAAGCCTTATCAGTGCCGTATCTCATCCAGACAAAGGGTGTCCCATTTCACAGTCTGAAATAGCAGGCTGTATCTGCAAATACAAATGAAGCACTGAGCTGCCCCTCGCAGCAGCGAAATCCCGCACAGCTTGCCAGCTCCAGACAAAACACAGAGAGATCTCTTCACCCTAGAGCTTGTCCAGGGCATCTGGGTGTGCCGTCCAACCTACGCAGCCATCACCCTCGCTGTCATTCTGTACTGCCTTCCTCACCCTTGTGAGGTTTGTGGAGAGCCCATGCCACCTCCCAGCTGCTAGTGGAAGGGATAGAGGGGACAGGGCTGTGCTGGTGAACTCGCTGCCTTTGTTCCAACACAGCAAAAAATAACTCAGATACAAAGCAGCTCCAGCCACCGACAGCATGGAAAAGAGCAGCTCAGGCAGCTCCCAGCACACGTTCTGTGCCTGGGCAGAGCCGGCAGGTAGGAAAGGCCGAGAGAAATGCTTGGCTGCTAACCTGAGGCATGCCACGCTGTGCTCGTTTCAGATCCCAAGGAGACATGTCCTGCTTTCACCGCGCTCAGCTTCAGCAGCGCCCTGATAGGGACCGACCTGGAAGTGAAGCTGATGCTGTACACCAGGCAGAATGAAGACTGCGCCGAAGAGCTCAATTCTACAGCCTCCAAGTATCTAGATCTGAGCAAGAAAACCACCTTCATTATCCACGGGTACCGGCCCACAGGCTCTGCCCCGGTCTGGATCACTGACCTGGTGCATCTCCTGCTTTCTGTAGAGGACATGAACGTCATCGTGGTGGACTGGAACCGGGGGGCAACTACTATCATCTACAGCAACGCTTCCAGCAATGGCAAGAAAGTTGCTGAGATTCTGAAGAAATTTATGGATGAAATGTTGGTAAGTTCACACTATGATATAGTTATTAATGCACAGGACGGAAAGGGCACAAAGGAAGTGCTTAAAAACAGCAGCATGTCTGGGAAAAGAAATTCCCAAAAGGGAACACATTCATTTGTTGGAAATGTAGCTACGCTGCAGTGCCAAACTCTGTACTTGGATGTGGTAGGATGGCATTTTGCTGTGATATTCAGTTCACTTTGCATTTCTGGATATTTGTTTTCCCATCCACTGAAACTCTGTTTCCACCTTCTGGATGTCCAAAGTCAGCTTGAAGTGACACTGGCTCTCTGCATCTTTGTGTCTAATGCTTTGCATGGGGCCAATGAAAACTTGTTTCTGCCCGACCTGGACTCACTGCCCCACAGAAATACAACCTCTGCCTGAGCTGCTGCATTCACAGCTCTCAGATACGGGCCTCAAATACGGGTGCTGGATATACTGTGGGACTATTAAAGGGGAAAATCATAAAATCACAGAACATCCCCAGTTGGATGCAACCCATAAGGATCATTGAGTCCAACTGTTATATTTATACAGAGTGGAACGAACCACTGGAAAACACAGAAGAAGCAGAGAGATGTGTTTACATCCTTCCTCCTGACTTTTTTTTGTGCCTTCTTAGCATGCTTAACAGCTGTGGTTCTGTCTTTAAATGCCAGATGAACGGCGCGTCGCTTGACTCCATTCACATGATAGGAGTAAGCCTGGGAGCACACATCTCCGGCCTCGTGGGACAGATGTTTGATGGGCAGCTGGGAAGGATCACAGGTAACCTTCCTGCTTCCAGGACTGCTGCTCACAGCAATCATTGTCAGCTGTGCCTTGGGCTGATGGCACATGCATGGTTTTGTGTTGCAGGGCTCGACCCAGCGGGCCCCCTGTACAGAGGAAAGCCACCCAGTGAGAGGTTGGACCCCAGTGACGCACAGTTTGTTGATGTCATCCACTCGGACACCGATGGTACGTGGGACATCTCCTCTTTACCGCTGAAAGGAAACCTGCTGGGAGCGCGGGTTCAGGTTGGATATTAGGCTCTGGAGGGTTCCAGTTGGATACTGGGGAAAATACATTCTCAGAAAGAGCAGTGAGGCAGTGGCACAGGCTGCCCAGGGAGGCGGTGCGGTCACCATCCCTGGGAGAGTGCAGGAAAAGTGAAGATGTGGCACTGAGGGACGAGGTGGGTGTGCATGGTGGGGGCGCACTGATGCTTGGAGCTGATTATCTTAGTCTTTTCCGACCTTAACGATTCTGTGATTCATAGGGAAGCAGGAGCAGCAGTGGGCAGCTCTGCTAGGACGATCCATGCTGCTTTGGCACCCTGCAGGTCTCCAGGGGGGTTGCTCAGAATGATGCTTCCTGCCTCCATCCCACTTCTGTTGGGTTTAACTATCCTATATGGCAAATCCAGCACCTCCCTCAGCCCTCTCCTCTCCCAGCCAGTGCATAGCACATCTCCAAACCCTCCCGCTGGGCCAGCAGCATGACACAAACCCTCTGTTCTGCTCCCTCTGTTCCCCCTTCTCACCTCACTGCTGCCTTTTGCCACTGCCAACAATTCAGACCTCGGCAGCACAGGAACACCCAATGTTTCAGAGCCCTCTTCCTTTCCTGCAGGCAAAAAAAGGTAAATTTTGCACCGTCTCACGCACACAGACTTATTTTAGGTGTCTGATGCCTCTGCTAAAATGACCTCATTGGCCCACTGCACAAACAGGTGAACGACTTTAACATTCCCTGCACAAGCAGGCATCCTAGAGCTAAATGAGCATTATATTCTCCAGTTGGTTTGTTTCCTTCCTTGCCATTCTACTATTCAATATTCCCTCCCTGGCTATCTTCCTTTCCCAGGACTGGGCTACGCAGACACCCTCGGCCACATTGACTTCTACCCCAATGGTGGCACCGACCAGCCAGGCTGCCCTCTGACAGTATTTGCTGGTAATTCATTTTTGAATTGCACACATACATACACACTGACAAAATGTTTCCAATCAGAGAACAGGAGAAGGCCAAAGAAACGTCACCACAGCTAGAAAATAGATGGGAAAGCCATAAGAGCAACCCCTTGCTGACACACTGATGTAATGGGCTCAGCTGGTGGTCAGGGCTGGCACAAGCATCCATGGGATGGATTTTCCACGCAAAAAACCATTGAGTAAATTTATGTTCTCATTTTAAGGCTATGTTTAGAAAACACAGGAAGGGTTTTTTGTACCCCAGGGAATAGCAATGGTAAGAACCTGCTCAGAAAGCAGGTTTGAGATGAAGGCAATGTGGTCTTTGATGGATGCAGCCACAGACGGTGCTGTTTTCTTGCTGCACGAGAATTACTAATGAAATATTTCTTCTCTGTGTACGGTTAAGGATTGAAGTACTTTAAATGTGACCACCAGAGGTCTGTTTTCCTGTTCATGGCATCCCTGAAAAAGAGCTGCAATATCACCACGTACCCATGTGAGTCATACAGGAGCTACAGGAGGGGGAAATGTACCAGCTGCGAAACCTTCCAACCCATGCCATGCCCCATCCTAGGTAAGGACCAGGGGATTTTCCCATGCTTTGCACAAACACTTTGCATCATGATCTACAACAGGATGGGATCCAGGGTGAAAAAGACAAAACAAGAATTGAGATCTTTACACAACGGGCTGCTTTGGAGTGACAGAACCACAGAATGGCTTGAGTTGGAAGGGATCTTAAAGACCATCTGCTTCCAGCCCCCTGCCCCACCAGCTCAGGCTGCTCAGAGCCCCATCCAACCTGGCCGTGAGCACCCCCAGAGATGGAGCACCCACAGCTTCTCTTTGCAGTTGAACAGAGACACGCTGTTTCTTAAATATTTGCATTGTTATTCCCAGCAATTGAATTGCTGATGTACCTGCTCAGTAACCCTCTGTTTCATTTTTCAACTGTTGTCTACAGGCTATTACGCCCACGAGTGGAAAAGCCATTTAACAGAGCAGAGCCACCCAGTGACAACCATGTATTTTGATACCGCGGACCAAGAGCCGTTTTGCTGTGAGTGACAAAGATCCCTGAAATGGTTTCTCCTTGTGCATCTCCTCCTTCAGCAGAGATGGTGGGCACTGACATGGAGACAGGGAGAGGAGAAAGAAAAGGCCTCTGGGTGCACCGTGATGTAACCCTATGGAGAGTGCTTCCTCTGGGGCTTCCCCACACACATCCACCCACACCTCACCCCACGGCTCTTGGCACTCAGGACAGGGCTGGGATGCACAGCAGGGCAGGGTGTGACCACGTTCTCTCTTGCTCACAGTATACCACTACTTTGTGGACATCGTCACGTGGAACAAAGGCACCAGGAGAGGCACGCTCAGCGTGGTGTTAGCTGATGGCACTGGGAAGAAGGCAGAATCCAAAGTTAACCCGTAAGTCTCACCGAACCTGATGAAGTACCAGTATTAGCAAACCACGCAACACAGCTGGAGCTGGGAAAGAAGCAAGACCTCCTCCTCCCATTTTTGCTGATCCTTGATACTGTACGCATGCTAGGTGACCTCCGCAGTCCCCTGGTGCACACCAGTGCAGCCCAGCCCTTTGCTCTGGATGCTTCCCAGCTCCCCGAGTGCTGTCATGAACAGCAGGGCTGCCCTGGGCCTCCAGGAGAGCAGGGCAAATCCCAGCTCCCCACTTCCTTGCACCCAGCTCAGCAGGGATGAACCCAGGCCTGAACTACATAACACAAATCAATTCATTCTGCTTGGAGAGGCAAAAAAAAAAACAGCCAGCATTCATCTAGACGTGCAGTTTCCCATTGCTATGAACACACCTCAGCCCAGAGTCCTGCCCAACCAGTTTCCCCACATCTCTCTCACTGCATGTTCTCCCAGCCCTATATGCCCACGTCAGAACAACCCACGTAGCTCCAGCTTGCACAACCCATGGCAGCCCACACATGGCCTATTTACTGCAGGCAGGTAAGAACACGTCCTGCCCATCACACCTCCCAGAGCCCCCAAACAAGGGCCGTGTGTGAGCGCTGCAGCCTGCAGGCGCCTCCAATCACAGCCGTGTTCCTAAAGGAACCTCACAGCTGCCACACACAGCTCACATGAGCAGCTCTGTGCTGACCACCATCGCTCAGAGCAGCTGAACAGGTTCACACTGCAGATCTGAACGTGCAGCCACTTCCTAAAAGCCAGAAACTGATCACAAATCCGGTCCTCCTCCCCCAGCACTGTGCCTAATATCACACTGACTGCATTAAAGCCACGCTGTTCCCCTGGGGACTGCCTGACACTTGTCTGCTTTATCTCTAGCGAAGCTGCAGCCTTCCAGCAGTACAACCACCTCAGTTTGCTCGTTGGATTCAACCAGGATTTTGAAAACGTAAAAAGGATTTCTGTGACGTTTTCCACAGGATCCGTCATTGGCCCCAAATTCAAACTCAGGATTCTCCAAATGAGGTTCCGCTCACTCACAAACCCAGAGAGGTAAGTGCTGCACAAACTGTCCTTACTACAAGATGGGCGGAAATAGAGAAAGCTCCCACATCCCAGGGCCGGCAAGTTTGTCAAGAGGAATTACATTGCATTCAGTAATTCTTGTATACACGTCTTGGGAACAAATCCCCAACCATCTGCCTGACCACAGAGGTTATCTTATTGCGTTGAAAACATAATTTGTGGTGTGATGTTTTAACCTCTGTTCAGGATCATGACCTGTGTGTGGCTGCACAGAAGCTGCCCAGGCCTGAACACAGTGCTGAAAGCGAACAGAACTCTCAGGGAAATACAGCCACAGGAAATATCCATATCCAGTTAGGGAGATTCATTCCCTCTTGGAATCCTGGTGACTGGGAGCTGCAAAGCAGTGACTGCTGACCACTGCACACGCTGATGGGACTCCTGCAAAGGCTTCTGTCATCCTCATCACCTCCATGTGCTCTGCAGCCCTACTGAAAAGACCTCTCAGATCCCCAAGTCCAACCCCAGCCCACCCCACCACATCCCTCGGTGCCGCATCCGCACAGCTTCCAGGGATGGCGATTCCCCGCCTCCCGGTGCAGCTGCGCAGCGCCTCGTGCTTTATCGCAGGCCGCCGCTGTGCCGGTACGACGTGGTGCTGACGGAGAACGCGGAGCGCAGCTTCAGACCCATCCCTTGCGGCGAGCGGCGGGGAGGAGCAGCACCAACAGCACCAACAGCAGCGGCGGCAGCGGCGGCAGCGGGCGGCTGAGAGCTGTCGCGTCCCGCGGGCGCCACACGGTGGCGCTGCGCTCAATACAGACGTACAACCCGAGCCCGTGCGCTGTCGGCACACTCCCCCCCAAGGCGGCCGCGCTGCGCACGCGCGGCGCTCCGGGTCGATCGCGGTGCCGCGATGTGGCGGCGGCCAGCCGGGCTGCTGTTGGTGTTTGCGGGCTCCACGGCCGCGCTGTGGCTGCTGTCGGCTCGGCTGGGCGCGGGGCAGACGGGCAGGTGGGTGCGGGAAGGCGGGCGGGCGGGCGGAGCGGTCGGAGTCGCGACGCGATTCCCACCGTGCGTCCCGTTAGGCCGCTGCGCTTCCCTTCGGACCTGGAGGAGCTGCGGGAGCTGAGCGAGGCGCTGCGGGACTACGAGCGGCGGCACCGCGGGGCGGCCGTGCTCCTGTTCTGCGCCGCCTACCTCTACAAGCAGAGCTTCGCCATCCCCGGCTCCAGCCTGCTGGTAGGGCGCCGTGGGGCCGCGCCGCGGGGCCGCGCTCCGTGCTGCGGGGCCGCGCCCGGCTGTCGGCACGCCGTTTGTCCGCAGAACGTTCTGGCCGGAGCGCTGTTCGGGCCGTGGGTCGGGCTGCTGCTCTGCTCTGCGTTGACGTCCCTGGGAGCCACCTGCTGCTATCTGCTGTCTGGAGCCTTCGGGAAGCGTTTGGTGGTGCGCTGCTTTCCGGATAAAGTGGCTCTGCTGCAGAGAAAGGTAACGGCCGCCGGTCCGGCTTGGCTCGGATCTCGTTCTCGCTGCTCGTATGCCCCACCGCTGGGCTCCAGGCGTACGCTGTTCAGCGGTTCTGGACCGGTTGCGTTGTGGGCTGTTGGGGAAATACATTGCCGCAGCCCTGGAGGTGCTCGGAGCCGGGCTGGATGGGCTGCGGGCAGCCTGAGCTGATGGGAGCACCCAGCCCACGGCAGGAATGGCACTGGGGGAGCGTTAGTCCTTGCCGAGCCGTTCCGGGGCTGCGGCCATTCTGCTCGTACTGCTAAAAGAGAGATTTTCTCTTGCCAGGTCGAAGAGAACAGGAGCTGCTTGTTTTTCTTCCTGCTGTTCCTGAGGCTGTTCCCCATGACGCCAAACTGGTTTCTGAATCTCTCGGCTCCCATCCTGAACATCCCCATTTCCCAGTTCTTCTTCTCCGTTCTCATCGGTGAGGCCTGGGGATGCTGGCAGAGGGGAGGTGGTGGCACTGCCTCCTCAGCACCGAGCCCTGGGCTGGGGAAGGCAGAGCAGCAGGGCTGAGCTGGAACTGCCCCAGTTAGCTGCTCACATTCACGGAATCACAGGATGGCCCGGTTGGAAGGGACCTCAAGGATCATGAATCTCCAACCCTCTGCCACATGCAGGGCCACCAACCTCCACATTTAATACTGGACCGAGCTGCCCAGAGCCCCATCCAATCTGGCCTTGAACACCTCTTGGGACAGGGCATCCACAGCCTCTCTGGGCAGCTGTTCCAGCACCTCACCACTCTCATAGTAAAGGTTTACACTGCTCCTCTTGTAAATGTGGGTGCAGCAGCAGCACAGCAAAGTTTTGTATCACGCCCTTGTCTTTCTGTCACAAACACAGACACCTATTTGACCTTGGGCAAGGATGCATTTGGGCTAATTTGGCATTCCTTCATGGAGGCAAAGGGGATGCTAACTCTCTTCTCTTTTTGCTCTGATTCTTCCAGGTCTTACCCCCTACAACTTCATCTGTGTACAGACAGGAGCCATTCTATCACAAATCAACTCTCTGGATGCCATTTTCTCTTGGGACACACTGCTCAAGCTGCTTCTAATGGCTATGGCAGCATTGATACCAGGGACTCTGATCAAGAAATACAGCAAGAAGCACTTAAAGCTGGATGAAGACGAGCACGCTCCATTACTCAATGGCAAAAAGAGTATGTGACGGCTCAGATGGCCCAGGTGCTGGGGGACTGCCTCACAAAAGCTGCTGGTCTCTGTTCCTGTGGGTTATATTCTGCATGCTCTGCATCCTTGTGGACCATGGATAATTGCAGCTTTTACTCTTCTCCTCATTAAGAGGAGGTGTAACGTTCTCCTTTTTAATTAATGTTTTATCGTGCGTGGATCTGCACTGAAAATAGAAGGAAACTTGGTGAACACTGGAGGTAGATTGCCTGTGTCCTTTAAGTCAGCCTGCATCTCTGCTGTGCTGGCAGGTGTTGCCAGCCTATTGCAAATGCATTAGCACCTTGCAGAGAGAGGCAGGAGTAGGGGCAGCCGTGGAGGAAGGTGAGTTGTCCCTCCTGGCCAAGCACCACATTCCTGTGGTCTCTCTGCCAGCCCGAGTCCAGTCTTCTCTGGAGGACTTGTGGAGAAGCACAGGCCAGCTCCAGTGTTGGTGCAGCAGTACTCCAGGAGAAGGGGAAGCCTGGGCTGGTCCCAGCACCTTGACTGCCAAAGCAGCCAGCTGCTCACAGTGAGGCAGCACTGCACTCAGCTGTGCCAGAAGCAGCCTTGGCTTTTTTTCACTGCCTTTCTCAGCTGTGTTTCTCAGCTCTCAGGCTGTGTTCCTCCCCCAGCCTTCTCCCCGCCCATACCTATTCAGTATTTTTGGCATAAAATGAAAAACAATCCTTCTGTGCTGTTAGGTGTAGAGATACAAATAGCAAGTTGAAAGACAAAAAAAAGAATGTTTCATGGTCACTAGTTTGTCCCTGTACCTTCCACAGGAGAGCTTTCCCAGATTCAGAAGACACTTTTCCTCTCACTGTGCTGTAATGCACATCCTGCAGTGAAAACATCCAAGTTTGAGGACAGCCAGGAGGTGTCTTTGTGCATCAGGTCTGACAGGGAGCTGCTCCTTCCCACCACAGCAGCCAGAGTTGGAAGCAACCAGGACAGCAAAGGGCAAAGTTCTCAGGATTCAACTACCCAGCTCACGGCAAAGCAGCTTGCACAAGTAAAGGTCACTGCTAGGTCAGCTAGGTGCTTAAAGTCTGCTTGTGTGCCTTCACATCTGGTATTCAGAGCTCCAAGTAGCTCCAGCTTGACTGGGGTTAGAGACAGGCAACCGAAAAACAAACTGCTTGCCCACATCTCATTAATTATTGCAAGACTTTGCCCCAGAGCATACCACAAACCATTCCCAGATACCAGACCAGCCTGAAAAGCATTGAAGTACACTGGCTTTTTATTCCATGCATTGTTTGTTTTGATAGTCATTCTTGTTTCCATCACTGTACACTGTTCAATACAAAAAAATCAAGTTTGTATCAGGAATCCGCAGAGCAGGGAGGAGAGAGATGAACACTACTGGACAGGGCCAGGATGAAATGGTTACTCAACATGACAGTGGGGAAGGCAACATTCAGCATTGGGAGAAAAATCTAGGCTAGTGTTCAGGAGCTGTCAGCAGCCACGAGAACTGGCTCAGGGAAGTCAGGATGCTGGAAAGGGAACACAGTTTACTTCTGTCCTGCAAACACGGTGTTACTGCAAGGAAGTGCACAGAACTGCAGCGACGCATCGCAGTCCATGCGCAGATCTGGGCCAGCGGCACCACGCAGAGCACTGCTCAGCCCCCCGCACAGCCACACGTGGGGTACAGGGCTGTGTGTTCACACAAGGAAGGGGCAGCCCTAGTGGCAGCCCCAGAGGGACACTGCATTGTAGGCAGCAGCTACGAGGAGCTACGGTGTGACATGCAAGAAACCAGGCCCCAGAGTGGCTGCAGTGTTTGCAGCAGCCAACCAGAAGGGTTCAGTTCTGCTCCTCCAGCTGCAAAACAGGCCAGCGTGTCCCAGGGCGAGGCAGGGAGCAACCACTGCTCCGCCAGGACAGCTGGCCAGGAAGGTCCCCGGATCCCACACACCAAGGCATCCGCATCTCTGCGGGCCCAGAGGAGTTTCAGCGCATTGAGAAGCTCTGAGCTGAGGCTGCAGCTACCAAAAGCCCCATAGGATCATCTTGGTAGGGACAGAGTTAGCACGGACTGAAGCACAGAGACTGAGATAGGCCTGAGCTGGAGGCAGCTGTGCTGTGGGCCTATTGCTGCAGGACTGCTTGGGGGTACGGTGGTAGATGTGAAGGGGAGCTCTCAACCTCTCTTTATGGAGTAGTTTGATCTTTTTCTTTGTGTGCGTACGTTACATGCACAATTCTGCACCACTCAGTTCTCATGCCCTAGCCTCCAGCTTGCTGGGTAACTATCTGTAGCACTTCATCTACACCAAAACCTCCCACACCACAACAGCAAAGTCTTGCCACCTCACATACCGCCAGCCATGGGAGAGGCCTTTGGGTGGAAGAATCAGTGATGGAAGAGAGAGTAAACAAGAAACAAACCAGGCAAGAGCTTCACTCCCCTCCACGCTCCGTCTCGGTGCAGAGCTGAGCATTGCTGCTGCAGGCAGCGTGAGCTGATCGCTCCACAATCTGACAGTCCTGCAGCAGCGATGCACCATGTGCCAGCAGTAACTGCCCACTTCTCTGCCTGTCCTTCCGGGCATCTGTAAAGGTTACTCCCTTTGTGACCAACACCACAGCCACTCGCTCCCTGGTCACTGCTCCCCACCAGCTCACGGGCTGCCAACTCAACCAGCAACACAAGGAACTGCAGCATCCCCACAAGGAATACCCTGGGCTCAGGCTGACTGCAGCCATCCCACCCCGACCAGCTGTGCCAGGTTCCCTGCCCTAGGGTGACAGCACCCATGAGAAGCATGGGAGGCAGCAGCTACTGACAGCCACTGAGACCAGCTCTGCTCCCATCTCTCCCAGTGACCAGGAAGAAAGTAACGTCACACAAACAGATTACAATTGTGCTAGCAGTGAAGCCAACCTTCTGATCTACAGAAATGATAATAAATAATAAAATAACATCATAACTTAAGATCTGTGTGTAGTCCAGCTACAAAATTTTAAAATATGGGATAATTTAACTCATACAATACTGCTCTCTGTATAAGACATTTTCCTTCATTTTGCCACGAGGCTATAAATTACCACAGATAAATTCAAACCAATATGTTAA